CTTGACTTGGCTGAACCTCTGCACTTAACACCTTTTTGTTATTATTCTGCCTCAGGTCAACATAAATGGGAATTTCTGTGTGAAATTCCTCCTCTACACGTGTCCAGGCCTTGGCGATAGACAGTCACAGTGACCAGACAGTGATACTGGGATCCAGGTAGGGAGAGCAAATAAAGGATGGGGAGGTGGTGAGAGAACAGGAAGGGAATGGAATCTTGGAAGCCCAGGTATGTGGCATGAAGGACGGTGACAAGTGAGCCTCAGAGTTGCCACAGAGACATGGTTCTTCTGCCCCTGCAGATTTCCTTCTGAATCCCCAGAAGAGGATTCATTTATATGCAAACATGAACATTTCTTGCCTTCTGTCTCCTCATATGATGATTCGGTGCCTCTGAGGCTGGCACGTAGTGTACATATATACGTGCAGGCACTCACACATGAAAATAAGCAAGCCAAACGGTGGATAGGCTTATCATATCTCCATCTCTGCTTCCTTCCGGAGTCCATCTAATTGTCCAGCTAGTCCCCTCTCTTCTGGCTTCTCTGCACGGAGTTATGGGTGCACACACTCTTCCTCCACTCCTGGACTCTCCTTATGTCCCAGTCGTGCTATTGGCGGATCGTTCTTTCAAATAGCAGGCACACAAAGCGATTCTCTTCTGCCTATAAAAAATATCTGAAACCTTTAACAGGGTTTCATGTCCAGAGCTTCATGGTTGCAAACAACATCCAAAATATATTTGTTTAAGCCCCCAGATGGAAGCTGTATTGGCTTCTGACCCTGGAAGCTATAAAACAGGCCCTTATTTCAGATCTGTCTGGATCCAGAGGCTTAATTATCACTGCCAGGGCTCTCTGGTGCTCTCCGCTCAACTGTGCTAATCTCTGCTTGATTGAGTGGGCCTCACTTATGGGCAGGCACTCTGCACAGTAACGCATCAGAGGAGGTCCTTATGGCTCCTGGGCCCTCAACATTGCAGCCCCAGTCCAGGTGGAGACTCTTGCTCCTTCCTGCTGAGATGCTGAGAGAAAAAAACTACCCTCCCTCCCTCCCTCCCTCCCTCCCTTCCTTCCTTCCTTCCTTCCTTCCTTCCTTCCTTCCTTCCTTCCTACGTTCCTTCCTTCTGTCATTTTTTCCTTTCTTTCTTCTTAATTTTGAGACAGGGTTTCTCTGTGTAGCCCTGGCTGTCCTGAAACTCACTATATAGACCAGGCTGGCCTCAGTCTCAGATCTGCCTACTTCTACCTTTTGAATGCTGGGGTTAAGGGAGAAAACTACTGCTTCTAACTTGAAGTCTGTGCTCTGCAGCCAGAGACACTTCACTATCAGATAAGGTCCCAGGCCCCACGTGTGGTCAGGAGCTGATGCGGCTCTCTGTCAGCACCATAATAACTTCACAGGATGTTACATGGCTAGTCTTCTGTGGAAGGAGGAGTGCACCTCCAGTGGCCCTCACAGGAACTGATTGGAGCTTTGAGTTGTGGGGAACAGTTACTTGAGAAGCATGGGGCTTATAAATCTCAAGCCACCGGGCTGTGGAAGGACCAGGAGCAGCAGCTGTCTCCTGGAAACTTTTAGCTACTCAGCTACTCCCTCTGTGGCCACTCCTCCTTCTCTCCTCTGCTCCTTGCCCCTGTCCCTGCCTCCAGCCCCCTCTTGGCTGACTTCATTCGTGTTTGTCTGCCATGTTTGTTGAACAGCTTTTGTGTGCCAAATGCTGTTCTTGACATCCCAACATACAGCAGTCATACAACAAACACAAAGTTGCCCTTAAGCCCATTCATGCCCCATTGGCAGACGAAAGGAGAAAGAAAAAGTATACTGTAACCTGTTGGGTGCGGTGGTGCACACCTTTAATCTCAGCACTCAGGAGGTAGAGGCAGGAGAACCTCTGTGAGTTTCAGACCAATCTAGTCTACAGAGAGAATTTAAAGCCAGTTGGGGATATATAGAGAGACCCTGGCTCAAAACCAAACAGACAAAAGAACATCCTTCCAGGTACTGCTAAAACTGAATGAGGAATCAGGGAGCAAATGGCGAACGGTTGCGCAATTTGCTTATTTCTTTATTTATTCCAGCACTGCAGGATTAAAGCCCAGTCTTCTGTGTAGTGGGTAAGCGCTCTATCACTAAGCTACGTCACCAGTGTCTGCATGCTACTTTATTTAAGGTGGTTGGTTGGAAGTGAGAGAGCCAGTCACGGAGCTATCTAGGGGAAGGATTTTTCCAGGCAATCAAGCGCACGTGTCCTTGGGACATAGGAGGTTCATGTTTGCTGTGACCATGGCATAGCCCAGAGGTCAGCAGAGAGCAAGTTGAGAGCAAGAACAGGAGGTGAAGTGAGGTGGTTGTGAGGGTGGAGCGTGGGCAAACAGCCAGAGTGGAGAGCCTGGGAGTCAGTCAGAATTCACCCTGACGGAAGTGGAGAACCAGCTGAGGGCTTTGAACAGCTGGGAACGTGATCTGAGCATAGTTGGGAGGCTCACTCTGGTTGCTACTGGAGGAGAAGATGGAAGTGGGAAGATCAACTAACGCTTTTTCTTTTTCTCCTCCCCCATCTCTCTTTCTCTCTCTTGTATTTCTTTACAAGTTAAGTGGCTTGAACAGTATGGTAGAGCAGGGAGCAGGAAATGGACACATTGACTGATTTTGCTGATGGACCAGGTTGACATGCAAGTCCATGAGAAAGGTAGGAGACTGGGAAGATTTGAGCTTTAGCCTTGAGGATCGAAGGGAGCTAGCTTTGCTGACCCAGTGAAAATTAGGGAATCCCCTCAGGGTATTCATGGGGCTTTGCCTCTCCCAAGGAACGGCCTTAATTTCTCCATACTACCTCTACTTACCACTGCTTGGTGAGAAAGGAAGGAACACTGCCTCAGTGTGAACTCAGTCCCATATACTGTGTGCATGGGCAGGATGTGACTGTGGGGGTACAGCTTTTCTTAAATGGCAGGTACCATTCTGACATTCTCAATGTTCTCACTAGTGTCTTGGCTACTAACTAAACCAGTTTAAGCTCCGTCTGACATTTTCTCTCCTTATTCCTCCCTGACACTCTAGCCGCTTTGGTATATTTTCATGTCTTAGTTCCCAACTGTTTGCCCAACATTTCCCCCCTCTATTAAGCTTGGGAATCTGTGCCAACGAGGGCAGGGATAGCAGACAGAATTTGGGGGCAGCAAATTGAAGCTGGGAGACCAGATTCTCTTGGTGTCTGCGTGGGTGCAAGGGCTAAACAGTTAGACTGGGCAGCTGGCAGAGACCCCAGAGCAGGTTTGGGGGCTTTCAGGCTGATTCCAATATGAAACCAAGCGCTCCAGGAAGGACACAGTGTGAGATTTCCACCCAGAAACAGTAATTGTAAACAGTGTGCCCCCTGCTGAAGATCAAGAAAAAGTCTTAGAACTTCTGTTTCTATGTTTTCCTATGTCATTCATGATATACTAATATCTTTATGGGAAGTGTAAATTAATAGATTTACTTAGATTGAGGAGAACTTCCAGAATTCTTTTACAAATGCCTTAGTATGCCCAAAGAGATTGAAGAGTGTCTTTCTGGAGACTGGAGGCCAGGAGGGGAATCACCCGCAGGGTGAGATGGGATTGCCAGTTCCTGGGCAGGAGAGAGGGTAGACACAGGTGAGAAAAGAGAGAGAAGATGCTGATGGTTTGCTGATATGTTTTGGGGGTTCTGTAAGTCTATTTCTCCATTAAAGCTGTATATATTTTGACAATCTGTCTGCATTCGTTTACGCCGTTACACTGTGTATCACCCTGGTGGTGTGATATGAATAAGCCTGGGTAAATAGCTCTAGGAAAAGGCACGTTGGTGGGGAGGAACTGTCTGGAAGGCACTGCCCCAGCCAAGCAGGGAAGGTCACTCTTTAGTCTGCTTCCAGATCCTGCTTGCAGCTCTACAGTCAATCAGGAAGATTGGGTGGAGGTTGAGAAGGAAGTTGAACTATGGACACTTCCTAGAGTTGAGAAGGGAAGTCTCTCCTGGTAGAGCGTAGATAAGAGCTGGTACCACAAGTCTGTGTCGGCAATAAGGAAAGGCCTAGAGCTGACAGGATGCTGAAGAGATAGGGCAAGGGACATTTCCAAGTTTCTCTGTATGCAGGGCAGGCATGGACAATCAAGGCATCCCTTCTCTAAGCAGGAACAAACAGACACAGATCTTCCCTCTCACCTGAGCACAAATGTGTTTTAAAAGACCAACACTATTCCTCCCTCTTTGCTTCCAGACCCCTCTAGGACACATAGGCCCACAGAGAACAACAAATGTTTCCTTACATGCAGGAAGCGACTGACCCACCCACCCACTCACATTCTCTCTGGGGGTGCACCCAGACCCTAAACCTGAGCCACTACTTTCAGCTGCTGCTTGACAGGTCCTAGGAGGGACTTTGCAACACCCACGTGGTCAGAGAGGTCCCATGAGCCAGCTGTTAGGGTCTAGAAATAAATGCTGAAAAGAGAAACTTGGGGCCAGGGTCTGCGGCTTGTGTGGTGTCTTAGGGGACACAGCAAGAAAGTGCAGCTGTGCCAATGAGCAGCTGAAGCCACTGGGGAGAGGAGAGAAAGACAGAGCTTCAGGCTACCCCATCCACAAAGAGAGAGCCCTAGATGTTGTTCATTCGGGGAACCTGCGCCCCTAGGTGTGGTTGTAGGATACTAGCAGCAAGGCAAGGCTGATTTGTTAGAGAAGGGTAATGTCAAAGTTATTCTGAAGTTCCAGAAATCCAAAACTCATGTGTGTGTGTTTGGGGGTGGTGGTGGTGAGGAACAGACTTCTCCAGGCCATCATCAGAGTTCAGCTGCAGTCCAGGGGAGTCTTGGTCAAGGATTTAAAGGAATTCGCATTGGGAGTGGAGTTGAATCCTTAACAGAATTATTGAGGGTCCTCCAGTTGGAGTACAGGGGCAGGGATAGACAAACCTGGAGCCATGGGGAGTGCCATACAAAATTTTATTATTATTTATTATTATTATTTATCATGTGCACAAAAAAAGAAAGGAAGAAAGAAAATAAAAATAATTAAAACGAACCGACACGTTGAAAGTGGCGGAGGAGACCAGAACTGTGGAAGACCTTTCGAAAGCTAGGCCTGATCCTGGGTCCCGTGCTCCTTGAGCCCAGCCAGCCAGCCCCACACAAGACTGGGGTCAAGCCTGGCCTCGGAGCTGGGACCTAGGGCTCCGCTGCTGGGCCCGGACCAGGCTACCGCAGTGCCCTTACACTCTTCTCTTTTCTCACTTTCCTTTTCAAATAAAAAGGCTCGAAGGGAAGAGAGATCTGGGCTAGGACTCCAAGCCTTTTCGGATTTGTTCAAGGATTTTTATTTATTTACTTATTTATTTTTTCACTTTTATTGACTTTGTTTCTGTTATTTCGAGTCGTCACGATCCACGGTTGAGGAGACATGCAGGGAGCATCGCCGCTACCGAGAGAGAGCAACTACAGGGCGGGGAGGGACAGGGCGGCCTAGCCGGAGCACGGTGGCAAGGCCACTAGGGGCTAGCCCGGAGGCTGGCTCTGCCACTTTTAATGTAGCCTTGGAAGCCTGGGGCAGGAGGGCCGGGACCGAGACAGAGACAAGTGAGGCAGAGAAAGAGACACAGAAGAGAAAGGGGAGATGAAGAGGGAGGGAGAGATGCAGGGAGGTGAGAGCGGAAAACACGGAATTAGAGAAACAGCCAACAAAACAGAGGCGAGAGGTGTCCACCGGACCATGTTCGTCATTTTGCATAGAGATTTCTTTCATAATTTTTTTTGTAAAGTAAAAAAATGCCCCCCTCCCCCAGAACGTGCTGTCCTTGAGTGGGCATGTAGCTCTGTCCCCCCCTCCCCCCAGCGAGCGGCGACCCTCACAGCACGGACAGCAGGTGTATCTACAGGCAGGGCGGGCGGGGGACAGGGACTCTACGGTACCCGGCGGGCGGGCGGGGCGGAGAGGGAGGGGATATGTACAGGGAGAGGTTCGCCTCCACACCACACACACCGTCTTTCTACAAAGCAGCCTTTTGGGTTTTTGTTTTGTTCGTTTATGCAAAGACCGTCATATTAAATAAGTATGTAGACTTCAGGGGCTCTGTTCGGCTGAGGGTGGATGGAGTGGGGCAAGCAGCCCCCGGTTTCCATCTCCCGGGCAGCTCGGTCGTCAGTTCCCTGCTGGCTCCTACCGCCCGCAGGTTGGGAGTTTGGGGTGGGGGACAGCAAGTTACTGCTGGGAAAGACCAGTGCTGGCAGCCGCAGTCGGAGGAAACTGTTCCCGCGGTGGCCCCGATGGGGCTGCGTGCAAGGTGTCCTGGGATGAAAACGCGCAGGAGGGGAAAGTCAAAGGCCAGCAGATGGAAGAGGCGCTGAGGTAGGGGCAAGGCGGGGCCGAGAGTAGAGTCACTGCAGGAGATCCCACGCCCTGGGGAACTAGGCAGTCAGGGTGGACGAGCTCAGTTGGCGTCTGCTCGCCTTGGGTACCAGCCTTGGAAAACTCTGCCGTCCCAAACGTTGTCCCTCGAGTCCGATCCTCGCGTTCAGGTGCCACTGTCAGCGGCTGGACGCAGACAGAAGGCGGGGTCAGCCTGGCAGGCACAGGGGATGGGGTGGGGCAGGAGTTTCCCTAGGGGTTCCGACCACGGCTCCTCCTTCAGCACAAAGTCCTTTCCTTAGTTTCCCTAGCTCAGCTTCTGCAGTGAAGCCTCCCAGCGCCCAGCGTCAGAAGCGGGCTGCCCCCGGGTGGGCCACGCTGATTGTGTGTCACAGAAACGTGCCGGACGCGCGGGCCAGAGGCGGGCGAGCTTCCGGGCGGCGAGGTGGTCCAGGCAGGCAGGCAGGCAGGCAGGGAGGGGCGGCGGGCGGGGCTGGCGATGAGCCGGGGCCTGAGGGTCCTACCCGCCGCTCCACCGGTGCTGTCAGGCCATCGACAGGGTGACGTGAAGGGCTGCGGGGGAGGGGGAAGGGTGTCTCGAGGTGGAGGGGTGGGACTGGGACGGTGGCCGAGTGGCAGCTCGTCGCTTCGGTCCTCCCCCCTCTGGGGTGGGCGGTCAGACTGGGACGATGTGGAGGCCGAAGCTGTCTGCCTGAAGCTTGATGTGGTCCCCGCGGTAACTAGTGGCGGTCATAGGCAGCGGCAGCAGCGGCAGGGGCGGAGCCCCGGGGGGCGGCACTATAATAATAAGGGGAACCTGGAAGTTAACACAGGAGAAGAATGGGCTGGGTGAGAGGACAAACAGGAGAACAAAAAAAGGAAAGAAAAGCAAAGAAAAGCCCTCCCCGGGTCCGGCAGGAACAGGATTGGAGGACTGTGACCGCCCTGAGGCCAGATCCCCAGGAAGAGCGCTGCGTTCTCAGGGCGGGAGAGGGACAGGACAGGTGACACCTGGCGGCAACAAGCCAAGGGATCCTACCGGCCCCTGCGGCCAAGAGCCTTCCAGTGACCAAGAGACAGGGAAGGGGGGAAGAGGCAGGAGGCAAGGCGCCCCCGAGGAGTCCTCAGGCCCCAGCGTTGCTACAATGAGTCTGTCTCCCTGGCCCATCCGGGTACCCAGAGTTAGGGTGGTCTAGAGTGGGATCGCTGTCCCGAAGCAGCCTGCGCGCCCGACCGGGCGGGCGAGCAGGCTAGCCGCTGAGCCGCCCGCCAGCCAGGTGGCGTACTCACTTAGTAAGGCAGGGTTGCTGAATCTCCAAGCCTCGTTGTAGGCGGTGTACTGGGGATGGCTGTAGGGGTTGCCTGAGAACTCGCTCCCTGTGGGAGGGTGGGGAACTGGAATTAGAGGTGCTCAGTGTGCCCGGTTGGCCTTTTCTGCCCTCCCCGCTAGTCCCAGTCTCAGGTGTTGCAAGCAGAGCAAGGTCCGTGGGGGCAGGGTAGAGGTGAGGCATTCCACGCTCGCCGCGTGGGGACAGCCACCAAAGGCAAGAAGTAACCATATCTCTGCGCACCTAGGCATGGAGGGATCTGTGGGCAGGTTTGTGCCTGGGATCCCCCGCGAAGCACTTCTAGCTACCCAGAAAGGGTTTGGCCTGGTCTGGTTGTGCCCACTTAAGTAACTTGGGAGCCCGAGAGCTTTTATGGTGGACACCTGCTTTAGGAATTCCACAGGATTAAAGAGGGGGAGGGTGGTGAAGGAAAGCCCTTGAGACACTTTGTCCCAGAAAGTCCTAAGAATGGTGTCTCAGCGCTGTGCTCAAACTAGGCAGGTGGCGATGGTGCTGTTCTCCCGGGAAATAACCCTTTCCACTTTTTCCTCCTGAGTCCACAATGAGCGCCACGCAACTGGAGAAGGAGATTTGCAGGAACCAAGCGGACTGCCCGCAGGCCCAGGAGCCTGGGTAGTGGAGGGCACTGTGGGTTGAGCGCTGCCTCCCTCCCTTCAGCAGGAGAAAGGCCAGGCCTATGGGTTTCCCCCTCGCCCTTTCTCCTGTGTGATGACCCCAGACTGTTTACAGTGATCCCTAACCGCGGGTTAAGTAGAGGAGAAGGGGCCGCACTCCAAGGAGGAGCTGGGTGGGGGTGGGGATGCAGCCACTGGAAAGCCTGTTTATTGACGAGGAGGGAAAGCATGCGTGCAGCGGGATAATGAGCTTCTGAGCTCAACTGTGACCAAGAGGAACTGAGCTATCTCCTTCCCCATCGCTAATGAAACAAGTGTAATTTCCTCATCAGCACTAGATTCTGTTTAACGACTCCCCCCTTGCCACCATGAGCTCTCTGCGGCTCCCCTCATCCCCACCTCCCTGCAGACTCCCCACCCCCACCTTCCCACTCTTTCCTCACCCCCCCCACCTCCCTAAGACCTCCTCCAGCCTCCACCTGCACACGGATCTACCTCCAAAGCCTCTCCTGGCCCCCTACCAAGGCTTCTACTTGCCTTCTGCAGAGCCTGAGCAGACTCCCTTCATCCACACCTCCAGCTTCTTCCCGTCCCTATTCTCTACTGCCCTACAGCGGACTCCCTAGTTTTCTCCACCCCACTTCTGCTTACTCAGGACTGTTCCTTGATGGCTGAAGACAATCACCCTTTCTTGCCTCTTCTTCTCCCCCTTCCAGTGAGAGTTGAACTTCAGGAACAGGGCAGACAAAAGACTCCAGAGGCAGTGGGTTGCAGGTTGGGAAAGTCTTGGTCGTTTTAAGACAAGAAATTTTGGTGTTTCTTGCCTTTAAACCACACCCATTTGGGATGGACGGTGGGGATAGCAACCACCAGGCTTTAAATACAGTCTCTGCCTCCTTAATTCCAAACCCAAGTACAAGGCCTCTCAGCAAAAAAAAGGTGCGCTGGAGTCCCAGAGGGCCCAGAGGCCCGTATCCTCTGAAGAAGTGTAGAGGTGTTCTAGATCCTTTCTCTCTGAAGTTGGGGTCTCTCTGTTTCCCTCCTGTCCTCCACTCCACTTTGAGACTACCTTCCTTCTCTCTCTAAATTAGGGTTGGTTCTCTATAGTGCTTCCCCCTCTGGCTTGGTGTGGACCAGTGTGGCTTTGGCTGAATGACTGCCATGCCCCTGAAAATGGTCTTTGGTTCCAAGTTTCCATGGAAACCAGGGCAGGCTCTTCCAAGCAGTGTCAGCTAGCTGGGGTGGGCTGGAGCATTGGGGCATAGGCTTGGATGGTTGGGTGCTGAGGAGGGGCCATAACCTACAGCTCTGTACACAAGGGGCACTTCTGAAAGTTTCCTCCTGGCGTTACTTCTAAAGGGCGAACTATGGCTTCTAAGGAGGAGGAAGGATGAAGGACAATGGTCTGCAGGACGGTGGTTTGTTGGCTCTCCTCCCACTCCCAGCCTGAGACTACAGACCATTCAGCAGCTCACCCACAATTTAGATCAGACATCTCCAGTATTGTCACCTACCAGGCACCATTCCTGCCAGGGTGGAGGTAGGATAGCTCCCCTGGCCAGTGGGGGGCACATGAGGGGGGTAACCAGGTAGAGTGGTGCTCGCCATATCGCGACCTGGAGAAACACAAAGGGGAAGGCATGAGGCCCGGAAGAAAGGGGACTGCTTCAGCTCACACCTGGATGCTAGGGGGAGGAAGGAAATGTGCAGATGGGCATCTGAGCCATGGGGCCCTGAGTGCCTGAATATGGGTACAGATGTCTAGATGTGTGTCCGCCATCAGCCTTGAGCGTGTGTGCATGTGTGTGTGTGTTTAATGTTACTCATTGTATATCTGTGCATACATGTATGCCTGCTTCAGTCTTTGTCTCCATGATTCTCAACTGAGGAGGAGATGGGTGGAGATGCCCTGGGTTTGCTCCTCTGAAGACACTTAGCTACTGTCGTTCTAGTGGACCTCTGTCATCCTGTCTACTGCTCTAACACCTATCTTTCTCTCAGGTCGAAGGCACCACACTACCACCTCTACAAGAGTAGAGTCCTTCTAAGTGGACCTGTAGATGCCAGGCCTGGAGGATGGGGACTAACCGGTGGGCTATTTTGCTATGGTTGGCATTTAAATAGAAAACCATCTCTGAAGTGAATCAGGAACTTTGAGGGCAAGCAGGATTGGATCACGTTCCAGTGAGCAAAATCTGCTCCCCCCCTACCAACAGCCTCCCTGGAAGCCTCTGTTAATCAGAGCCTACAGAGTGGGAGATGGGACTTCCCTTGCCAGAAGCAGGGAGCCGAGGCAAAGTGAATCAATATTCGAGAGATACTTCCACGCAGAGACATTTGTCCTGAAACACAGCAGCATGTGTCCGTTTCTGTGGAGGGGCACCTTCTAGCATACTCCAGCCTTCATGGACAGCATTGGCTCCTTCCTACCTCCCACACCCCATACACTAGAGCCTGCCCTCTCCTGGGGCCCATGCTTCTGCTGCAGATTCCCCTGTCTTCCTCGCCAGATGGTGTCATTCTATTCCTCGGGCCTCTGTCCAACCCTGGGAAGGCAAGGTGTGGCTGGAGGAAGTCATAGCACCCTGTACACCCCCTTAGTTGGGTCCTAGTCATGGTGAGGTCCATGGGACTTTTCATGGCTATTCCATAGCATTTTTCTTCAGTACCACCCACTTGATGGCGTCACCTACTTCATTCCTCAGACGTATGCTTTCTCATCCCCACCTCGACACCTCTGAGAGAGTCATCCTTCTCTAAGAGTAAAGAGCCACTGCGCAGGCTTTTCCATTTCCTGCTGCCTGCTGAATGCCCTCATTAGCTGTCCACTGTCACCTCAAACTCAATAGGAATAAAGGCACATCCACCTTCTTCTCCGTCAGTTTCCCAGCCCTTTTGAAGACATACCTAAAACTTCAGAGCGCTAGACACAGCCTTCTTTCCCCATCGCTTCCAATATGCAACAGATTCTCCTTAGCCATTTCTGTTGTATTCATTTCTATTCTCTCTGTCACATTTGTAGTTCGGCCCCCGAGTTCCTGCCTTTGGCTTGCTCCAGTGGTTTCTCTTTGCTTGTATTCCTGCCTTCACAGTCTTCCCCCTTACCAATCTAAAATATGACTGCTAGCCCTTCTGAAACACTGCTTGCTTTCAAATACTGCCATTGACTCCCTGTAGGCAACAGTTTGAACAGGGAACTCTCCAGACTCCATGTCCCCCAGGTACTCACCCCACTTGGCTTTCCTAGCTCTGATTCTTACTTCTGGTTGAATATGTTTTCATCTTATGATGTAAAATGCCTGTGTTTGGATGTGACCTTTGCTTCCTTCTTACTCATAGTTTTCTTCCAGCTCAAGCCTCAACATTCCCATCCTTCTACTCCTCAAGGAAGTTTCTTTCAAGTTTCCATGACATCTGTGTTCCATGGTTGACTATGTCAATGTCACTATATTGCAAAATGCAATGTCGGTTCTGCTGTTTCATGCCAAACTGACCATAACTCATTCAAGGGTAGGACCTACGTTCTGATCTATCCTGCATAGCTGAGAACGCAGTAGACTCCATTGCATCCACCGCGGATCCCTGATGGACGATAATGGGTTCTCATTGTTTCATACGCGTTGGTCCACTACACAGCAGCACAACTAAGACGAAATCTGCTTGTGTCTTTCCCCTTTAACAGTCCATTGAAATGGGGCTGCAGAGGCAGCTGTATGGTTAAGAGCACTGGCTACTCACTGAGAGGACCCAGGTTCAATTCCCAGCAGCCAAATGACAAATCACAACTGTTTGTACTTCCAGTCCCAGGGGACTGATGCCCCCTTCTGGCCTCTTTGGGTACCAGGCATGTGGTGCCTACACATGCAGGCAAAACACCCTTATTTATTAAAATAAATAAAAGCTTAAACATTTGAAAAATTTAAAACAACAGCGGAATTTTTACAAAGATTTTCAGCGGTAGATTTATCTCTGGTGACTCAGATTTACTATGCAACAGAACGGTTTCCTTCTATGCCTGTCGGGTGTGGCTATCGCCTTACACGTCCTGAGATGCACTAATCAGACAACCAGCAAAGACGATGCCACTTCTGAATCCCAGGCAGTAGAAGAATCTGCATTTGCTTTTCGTTTGTCCTATTTTGCTTTGTTTTGACAGTCTTACACCTAGTTCATGCTTGCCACAAACTTGTGATCCTCCTGCCTCAGACTCCTGAGTACTGAGATTACAGATGTGTGCTGCTACCACACTTGCTTGTGTTTGCTTTGTTGTAGGTTTTCTTGTATTGTGTGTGTGTGTGCATAATTTTGTTTTTCAAGGCAGGATTTCTTTGTGTAGCCTTGACTGTCCTGGAACTAGCTCTGTAAACCAGCTGACCTCGAACTCAGAGATCCATCTACTTCTGCCTCCCGAGTGCTGGGATTAGGATTAAAGCAGTGTCACTGACTGACTTCTGTATTGACTTCGATTGCCAATAAAAAAGTGCACATCTCCTGAGCATCTCTCAGCAGAGAAGACCCAAAGCTCACAGCAAGAGAAAAACACCTATCAGTTCCTAGAGAGAGAAATGAATTATATGGCATTTATTTGCCAGAGAAGACCCAAGAGAAAAGGGGATTATGGGAGATGTGGAGGTTTTGAAGCTAGAGAGATATAAAACATGATTCTTCCAGGAACTGTGATCTCAATATCCACAAAGCATCCAGGAAGCAGAGTGTGCCTCCCTCCTTTTTTGCCCCTCCCTTCTTATTCTTTCTATTGTTTTTCATTCTGACATCATGCCCTTTTTGTTAATAACAGGAAAATTGAATTTGATCTTCACTGTCGTCATTCTTACAACTAGTTGAACACAAGTCTCCACAATGGAAGGTATCCACACGAAACAACAGACCAAAACAAAACAACAAAACCCAGAAGAGACAGAGAAAGGGTGGATGGTCCAGAAGCTGTCTCCAGTCAATTCTCTTGCAAAGTTCATTCCCACAGCTACCTGGCCTGCAAAATGGCATGTTCAACTTCCAGCAGGTAGAAGACTTTGCCTACTGAGAACTGCTCCCTGAACGATTGATTGGAAGGCACGTTTCCAAATTCTACTTTTTTTAAAAAAAAAAATCTGTTTCTTTAGGTAGCAATTTAAAATTTGAAAAATAAGGGGGAAGAGGCCCGTGGTGAGGAAAAAGCATTTGAAGTTTCCCAGTGTTTGTCCTACACCTGTGCTCTGTTCTGTAGCGGCGTCGCACAAAGAGGTCCCTGTGCAGGACCTCTAAGTCAACACGGTGCCAGCCGCTGCATACAAAGCGCGCTCGATGACTTCATTAGTACACAGATGACACCTGACAAGCAGGGGAAAATTGACCAAAGTCTTGCTAGAGCCATATATTCTCCTGGAACACCATTGTCAATAACGGCAAACACACAGTGCAGGAAGTTTTCAAATTACTAAAACTATCATACCATTTGCCCAGCAGCGTTCTTTGAGCAAGCCTCCTTTGGCGAAGGAATACCAATGGGAAGCGGAAGAATGGACAGAAGCGCTGGGTGCTGCAGCCTTATAGGGAGACGGGCAGATGGCGGTGGGGGTGACTCAGAAACTGTGAGATGGCAAACAAGCCGAAGCACAGGAACAGGAGAAAAGCCTACACGGCAGAGTGCATCGGTTATGAAATACGTGCCATCCCGCGGAAGACAGGAAGCAGTAAAGCACCGGCTTGCTCACTGACACTGCCAGTAACATAAAAAGCACCAGGAATCCGAACGGTCCCTGTGAGGGAATGGGCATTTCATATGGCCTGCTTGCCTTCTGATGCTACAAAGCTTTCAAAGATGAGTCTTCGGGATGACCGTGCCCTTCTTTTAAAGGTAGAGAGATGGGGACACAGAGGCATAGTGACTCTCCTGGGACTACACAGCTATAAATGATAGCACCAACATTAGAAGCCATGTGCATGCCACACTGCCTTTAATGGCAGCATGGACCCAGATACTCCCCCAAAAGAGCTGAAGAGAAGGAAAAGAAGTTTTCCAGCAAGCAAAACCTCATACCACTACATTACCATTAAGATGAGGCGAGGAAAAAAAGGGACGCAAGGAAGGAACAAGCGTCTGGGAGGTCTGTAGTAAAACTCCATGGGGTGGAGTCTTCGTCTCCTTTGAGAGTTCTTTAACACGAAAAAGCCCCTGTGAGAAGCAGCAGTAGTGGAGAGTCTTAAAGTACCCAGAAGTGTTAGAAGCACTGTACTTGATGAGGATGTCTTCGCAGTTCAACTGCGGGAGTCCCTGAAGACTCCAAAGCCAATTTTTGCAGCAGTCGCTCTGTCTGAATCAGACAGTGCACTTTCGTCAGGCATTCCTTAGCAAATGGGCCAAAGCAAATCAACTGTTTTGGAGAGTTCTAAGTGCATCCTCTCTCCCAAGCACGGACAGAAGCAAAGTTCCAAGCTTTATGAGGAAATTAGAGGTGTTAAGTCATCAGATCGTGTGTGCCGTTTGGTTGAATCAGCAGTCTCCTGGCTCCCGGTCTTTCTAGCATCCATTGAACAGCTCCCACGTGCTGGTCTCCACCCCCATTATCTCACAGGTGTTAATCACCTCCTTTAATTCCTTATCAATTCCACCACT